TGAACTCCAGAGTGGACCCGTATTTCCCCAGCATTTCGCACAAATCTTGGATGTACCACGAGCCATACACCGTTTCTCGGTGAGAATAGTATCCTAAAGAAAAGAGGAAGAAAAAGGAAACTGCAATTCTCTTGCTTTCTTATTTTTCTTTTTCTGAGATGGAGTCTCTTGCTATATAGTTTAGGCTGGCCTTGAACTCCCTGTGTCATCAGGCTGGCCTCGAATTCATGCCGCCCGCGTGCTGGGATTACAGGTGTGTGAGGGAATGATTTTGCTAAGGCAATCTACACTCTCACTTCTCACTCTGTGCACTACAGTTAAGGAAATGACTGGTACAGTCCATGACTTGCTGACACCTACTCGTTCAATTAGGAAAGACCTGCCCCAGCTCAATCAAAGGGGAAAAGCAAGTTAGCAATCTCAGCACACTAGGAAGCTGAATCAGGAGAATCGGAAGTCCACACCAGCCCAGTCACTGGAGGCATGTTAGTGAGGCCACGTCTCCAAAAGTGAAGGCAAGTGTCACAAGACCGTAGATGCCACGGCTCCCATCTGCACACAGCAGCACATTTACTTACCTTCAGCCACCGAGTAGCACATGAGGAAGTCTGCGCCCGCAGGGAGGGTGTGCACCGTGGCTGCGTCCACCTCAGTGACGTTCTCTGGGGCCACTGCGGGATGATGGTCCACCACATCCAGAGGGACTACGGGAGGGTCGTGCTGCTGTCCCCGACATGCCTACGAGGCCAGAGGGACAAGCATGTGCTACCACTTACTACCTCCTCACAGGGACTTTGGTACAAGGTCTCATTACACAGCTCAGACTTGTAGTGATCCTCCTGTTTTTAGCCTACCCAGTGTTGGGATCACAGGTGTGTGCCACTACGCCCAGACTCAGTGACCAGCTCAGCACGCCAGGGGGCAGGGCCTGCGGGCCATGCATTACCAGGGTTCCAACCCAAGTCCCTGAGTTTGCCTAACCAGGCACTTAGTCTCCTGAGCTATCTCACCTGCCCTCTTTGCAGGGACTTTGGGTCACCCACATTACTTGGGAATGCATTACATGTAGTTCAAAAAATAATATGAACTGTTTGTTTGTTAGTACAGTTATGTTAAAAAAAAAAAAAAGGCTTGAAAAATACTTAACTCAGGAAATTACACAAAAATCTACAAGCACTGAATGTTTTTTATGTGCCCTGAAATATCTGCATTCAGGCTTGTAGAGAACAGCTGTCAGAGCTTTTCCTCTAATACGTCCCCATCCTTAATGCAAAAAAAAAAAGCTGTCCACAAATACATACCAGAATGTATAGAGCGGGAGAACCTAGGGGAGGAAAGAACTATGATTTTAAATCTCTGATGAGGAGCTGGGGATACAGCTCAGTGGCATAGCACCTGCCTGGCAAGTGCAGGGTCCTGAGTTCAATTTCTGGTACCAAAAATAAAGAAATAAAATAGAAAAAAATATCTGATGTATTATAGATGTTTTTGTCTTTCAAGGCAGGGTCTCACTATGGAGCCCAGGCTGGCCTCAACCTTGCTGGGATCCTCCTGCCTGAGCATCCCCAGTGCCCGGATTACACGTGTGCACCACTGCACCTGGCTTCATCTTAGTATTTTTTATCAGGCTTATTTTTAGGTCTTACTTTGCACTCTCCTTCGTAACACAATACAAAACCTGTAACTAGCAGAGACCCCCTGCACAGCCTGCTGCAGTGCTGATGCAAACCCTGGAGAAGCCCTGCCACACATGGGCTGAGCACCAGCCTGGACCACTTCCTTTGTTCTGTGAGCCATTTTATCCTCACAACCACCCCCAGTTGCAGGGGCTCCTCCTATTCCTGAACCACAGCTAAAGATTCCAGGTCCGGGCCACGCACAGAAGTCAGAGTGCCTAGTCCCAGCGACCTGGGAGTCTGAGGCAGGAAGCAGCTTGGGCCTAGGGAATTTGAGACGAGCTGAGGGGTTAAGACAAGCAAGCATTTCTTTCCCTTGCGACATCTTCCCAAGAGGAGCTCATGACCATCCCCGCTTTTCTCGGGCTGGGTAGTGCTGGTTGCCCCTACCCGATGAAACAACTTTTTTCTTTTATTTTTTCCATACTGGGGATTGAACCCAGCGCCTTTCCACTGAGCAACATCCCAACCCTTTATTTTATTTATTTATTGATTTAAATTTTGAGACAGGGGTGACTAAGTTGTCCAAGCTGGCTTTGAACTTGTGATCTTCCTGCCTCAGCCTCCCACAGCACTGAGCCATGTCATTTCTGTCTTGGTCTTTCCACTCTGGGCCCCTCTCCTCCCGTTCTTTGTCCCTAACCCCTGGTGTCCCTTGGGGCCTGTACTCATTTCTCAGGCCATTTCCATTGGTTAAATTCACTTCCTCCCACGCGCCCCACCTCCAGCCACATTTCCCTTCTCCCCATGTCGGTCAAGGCTGCCTGCCTAAAGCCCAGACCTGGCCGGCAGCTCTTGCTCCAGCCTGACTCCAGCCGTCCCCTCTGCTGTCCTATGGCCGAGCCCCTGCCGTACTCTGGGGCAGCATGTGCCACCAGGTGGCTCACACCACATGCCACCATGCAAACACAGAACCACAGCACTGGACTTCCAGTTGCTCTTTCCTTTTCTTCTAAATCCTTACCTATGAGCCAAGTGCTGTTATCTGGATGAAAACACAGGCCACCCCTAAGCCAGTCTGGAGAGCACTGGAAACAATTTGCTCTGAAGAAAGAATATGGCTTCGGTGTTCCAAAAGAATTACCACGCACAGCTACTGTGCAGTTGTGACTGTGTGTTGTCTACATGCCATGGAACACCACTCTGCTATGAAGGAGAAACCTCACCCATTTTAGAAAAATAAAACCTAGGGCTGGTGAGATAGTTCAGTGGACTAAGCGCCTGCTTTGGCAAGCACAGGGATCAAGGTTCGATCCCCAGCAGCACATGCCATACCAGCCCTACCCTAATGCCTGTAATCCCAGTGCTGGGAGGCTGAAAACAGGAAGATCACTATGAGTCTGATCTGGGTAGTGAGACCCTGCACCAAATACATAAAATGAAAATAATAATAATAATAATAATAATAATAATAATAATAAAATAAAGAAAAGTAAAACCTGAAAACCAAAAGGTGAAGTGAAATGAAGCAGACATTCAGGCCTGAATCTCACACAGTTTTCCTCACATGAGAAACTTCAAGTACACAAAAAGAGACAGATAAAAGGAAGTAGGGAGAGAAAGACTCCTCAGAGGGGACGGGACCAGGAGGAACAGGGGTGGGCCGCGCACGTGACTCCACATGAGGAAGGCATCGCCATGCAGTGCAAACGTGGACTCATAAAAATACTGGGAAAAGCACAATTGGCCTTTAGACCTTTCTGGTCACACGCGCTGCACTCTGGCTCTCTGGAGTGCAAGGACGCGCTGAGCCACCTCACCTGGATGATGAATATCTTGGGCTTCCCCACCAGGCTCCGGCACTTGTCCCCTCTGAACAGGGCAGTCAAGGTCTGGATTTGGATCTTGGCGTCAAACGCGTAGATATGGTCATCTTCGCCATGGGTCAGGAAGGCACACACAAAGCAGTCGGCGTCCACATGGCTTGCCGTGGACGCTGTGAAGGCCACCAAAAGTGGACACAGAAACAAAAATAAGATGCTGTTATTTATAAAGGTGAATGAAGTTTGCTGCTTCAGAAGAGTCTCTCATATGACTGGGTGGGGAACTTGTCATTCTCTAACAAATGCAAAATGTCTTATTTTAGGCTTTAATCAAATAGAATAAGGGCCGGGGAGATGGCTCAGTGGCGTAAGTGCCTGAGTTCGATCCTTGGTACAAAATAAATAAATAAACAAATAATAGAATAAATGATATCAACTTATCTGATTTTTAAAATTCTGAATTATTAAAGTTCAAAATTGCCCAGGTTGGGGCCGGGGAGATGGCTCAGTGCAATATGCGCTTCCCTGGCAAGCACAAGGGCCTGAGTTCAATTCCTGGTTCTGGAAAAAAAAAAAAAAAAAAAAATTGCCCAGATAGCACACAGCTGTAATGCCAGCACTTGGGAGGCTGAGCAGGAGGATCATTGCAAGGGCTGGGGATACAGCTCAGAGGCACATGCACTGGCCTGAAGCCAGCCTATGCTACATATGCACTCAAGGCCAGCCTGGACTATACAGCAAGAGTGTCTCAATCCCTCCCCACCCTAAAAGTTCAAAGGAATAGACTCTGGCCTAATCCCATCAGCTTTTCTGTCCCCCTGATGCCAGGGCCTTGTAGGAGCAGGGCAGATGTCTTCCCCAAGAGGTGTCCCTGGCCCTCTCATTAGCTTGTAGCATAACAATGTGGAAAACATGAAAGAGACCACACTGAGGGGCCTCCTTTGAGATCCAAGCTTCCCTGGAATAGACTAATTTTCTGTCAATCACAGAGGCTTCCTGGAACAGACAGGAAGGACCTAGAGACAGCACCTTTGAGCAGGCCCGAATGCTTTGCATGTCCAGAAGAGCTGGGCCCTGCACAGCTCACAAGCAAAGCAGAAGCCTAGCACACAGCCTGGCAGGTAACCTGCAGCTGACTCAAAGGAAGTTTACCATAATGATGCAAACGTCATAGCAGCCCGGCAGTGGCATGCAAGGCTGGGCCTGTGGCAATGACAGGGTCATGTTGTCACTAGAGTACCTAGTGCCAGGGGTGGTGCAGAAATAAAAAGGGAGATGGCTCAGTGGAATAAGTGCTTGCCTGGCAAACACAAGGACCTGAGTTCAATCCCTGGTTCTGCAAAAAAAAAAAAAAAAGAAAAGAGCTCATATCCTCAAATCACAAATTTGAAGGAAGTGAAAAAATGTGGTGTGAAATGTGTCAAGGGAAACGTGAGCCTACCAAAGCCCAACAGGGGCAGGGCTTGTGGTGTCAACGTTCACCATGAGGTGTGCAACGTGATTAATTTGCACAATGCAAACTTCAAGGCACAATGCTCTGCCCGGATCTCCAGCTCTGGTCAGCAACAGAAGCAGAGGGCCCAGCCCAAGCCTACAAGCCAGGCTACACTGTTGGCTCATTTTCCTGAGCAGTGGTCATGCATCCCTGTCTGTAAGAGCCCAGGGGAGGAAAAGGCAGAACGGCAAGCCCACCTACCGTCGTGAATTTGTTGCAGCAGCTCTTCCACTTTCAGATTATTAAAGCATTTCACTTCAAATCCCAGCTCTGAAAACCTGGGGATATAAAAAATTGAATGTTAGCTGGTGAGCTTTTCCAATGCCAATTATCCTTACTTTTGAGGATCTACACCCATTTTTAAGACCCATAAATCTACTTTTCTTTAGGTGAAAAGAAAAATACATGACAAGTACTGATCACCCACGCTAAGGAAGGATTTAGCCATGATTAAGGCTGATTCTGTTTAGAGACTGCCAAGGCTATGCAGGTGATTAGTGACCTGCAAAGCTGTCCATGCAGAATGGAACAGGGCTGGGGGCTGCCGAGTTCTGAGGGAGGCTCTATTCTGGGGAATCTGGGGTCTGTTCTGTGCCACTGGGGACTGAAGGAGCTGGCCTCACACGAGCTGAGCACATGCATCCCAGTGGGCCCTGGGGGGTTATGTCATCAGTCTGTCACTGTGACTCGGAGACAGTGCTACCTGCGAGCCAGGTTGTCCCTGTCAACGTTGGTGCCCCGCCTTTCCGGCAGCATCAGGTGCCAGAAGAAGTGCTCCTGGTTGAAGATAAGCGCAACCCCTCTCTTCTTGTGGTCCATTTTGTACTCTTCCGCTGGATCGACCATTTCCCTGTCCATAGAAAGTTCACAGAGCCATCATTTTGGGGAGGATTAAGTAACAAGACTGTCAGGCCACCAGGCAAAGAGCACACAGACCCCTACTGCTTCTGGCGGTGTCAGGCTGCGATTCCCCCAGGTGCTAGGGCAGGTTGTGCTAGTCACAAGTCACCCCCAAGTGGACATTGGTCAGATCATCCTGGGCAGCCCTTTCTAGCCACTTCCATGGACACATCCCCAGGATCAGCCACCAAGCTTCAGCATGATGTCCAGGCTATACTGACTTGATTTTGTACATGTAGAGCTAAGCATTGACCATGGGGTCTTCAGACTCAGCTTCATACCTCGTCCTTTGCATTTACGTATTTTTTATTTTGAGGCAGGACTTCCCTAAGTGGCCCAGACTGGGCTTGAATTTGTAATGCTTCTGCCTCAGCCTCCTTTAGTGCTGGGATGACAGGTGCATGTCACCCTGGCTGGGTCCATGACAACCTCTGTGATGCATTATCAGTGAAAAAACAGTCTCTGGACATGGCTGCAGGTCCTCTGACAACCAGGGACAGAACTAACACTGCTGCCTACAAATCCGCTTCTCCCAGGGTCAGACCTGACCTCCAAGGCTGCTCCTCAACTGCCGAGTTCCCTTCTCGCTGTCCTAGCTAGGGTCGGTCACAGCCCACAAAGGGAGAGACCTCTATGAGAAATGAGTACACTCTCACCTGGCCAGGAAGGTGTCTGTTTCTGCTATGCTTTGTTCTTCACCTATTTAAAAAAAAAAAAAAAAAAAAAAGTTGATTTTGTGAACTATTTTACTGTTTGACCCATGGTAGAAAAAGCAGCAGAAGTTCCCAGGCCCCATCTCTAAAACTCCTAGGAATGCAGGGAAACCAATGAACTACAACAGCTCAGTGATTTCTCACCCAGTTCTGGCCTGCAAGACAACAAATCATAACAGAAAGAGACAAAATTCACAAATACACCCACTACGAAGGATGGCTTAAGTAGCACAGCTCTGGAGCAGCCAGGGTATGTAAAACACTCATTTGCTTTGGGATTGGCCTGGTAGAGACGTAGGAAGTGAGGCGAGAGGAGAACAGAAGCCCTGAGATACTGAGGGAGCATGCAGGTGGGGGAGCGCAGGGCAGACAGCATCAAAGAGGACAAACAGGCCACAGTGGCCAGGAGGGGGCAAGCAGCAGGAATGCACACAGCCCTTTCGGTCCCGTCTGCCTTTCCCAGGTGTTATGGTTTGTATCTAGTTGTCTACCTAAAGCTTCATGCATGGTGAGGCAACGGGCTTCCAGAGTTTGTGATTAATTCATAATCCAATGCTGGGCTTATGGGTGTGCGTGCTACACCAGCCCTGGGGTGGGGAGCCTGAATGCATCATAAGAAAGAGAGAGAGGCCTGCTCTCTGCTGCTGCTGTTCGTTTTTGCTCTTGCTGTTTTGCTATTTCCTGCTGCCATGAACTGCTGCTCTCTGCCATGTGCCATACTGCCTTGGATCCAGCCGAGTAGGGACTGAAACCTCCACTAACTATGAGCTAAATAAACCTTTCCTTCCTTAATTCTGGGTGTCACTGTTTTACTCCAGCAAGGAGAGAAAAATACCTGAGACACCAGGCTACTTAAGGCACTCACCCTGAATCCTAGCCCCCTCTATCCTAGCAATTTGCATGAATCAATTCATGCATCATACACTCTTGAATGAGCCCTCTCTGAAAAAAACCCCAAAACTGCATAAGGCTTTGGGAGGACACCTAAGCCCACACCATAATAACCTATAATTTATTTATCAAACATGCATCTATTATTAAACTAGATTTTTTTTCCTCCATGGTACTGGGGATCGAACTCTAGGCCTTCACACTGAGCTACATCACCAGCCTTTTATTACTGTTGCTATTGTTGGTCTTGGTAAATGACACAGGTGGGGCCTAAAGTTGAAATCCTCCTGTTGCAGTCTCCTAGCTGGGTATCACCACCCCCAGCCTCAACCTAACTCTTCAACTCCCTCGTCTGTTCCACTATGATGTAACTGTCATTTCCCTTCTTCCTTAAATCTGTATCATTCTTTTTTTTTATAGGATACTTTATTTTTTATTTTTTAATGTATTTAGTTCAGGTTCTACAGAGTCTCACTATGTAGATCAGACTTGTAATGATCCTCCTGTTTCCAGCCTCCTAAGCACTGGGATTACAGGCCTGTGCCACCATGCCCAGTCTCAATCGGAGTCTCAGCGCCCGGGGGGCGGGGCCAACATGGCTAAATCTGTACCATTCTTACAGATGCAGTTTTTCCTTTTTTTCCCTCCTCACCCTAATATCCTAATCGCTGCAGGTAACGATTTGCTGGTGGCTTCTGGACAGCTCATCTCAATGCCACACCTTAGGGGCAGAGATAAAGTGGGTCAGGTCTGTACATGTCAGGCCCTCTGAGCCGGGCTGGAGGCCAGGCTGCCCTTGGATTCTCGTCCCTGCACGCTGGGTCACCAGGCCCCTGGAGAAAGTCTGTCACCTTCCCTGCTGGCCGATGTTATCCTGTCCTCTGTGGCCACCTCCTGGCCTCCCCAGATGTCACCTGCATAGTGATCCTGTCTTGGTTAACCTACCCCAGACCCTGAGCACTCTGGAAAGCGCGCGGGGTGCAGAAGGCAAAAGAAGCAGGCGAGGAAGGGGCTCAGCCAGTACCTGTGGCAGGGCATCCCATACCGAGTGTCCGCGTTTTAACCTTTAAAAACACTGAGCCGCGTTTCTGGGCCTCCCCACTGACCTATATCCCCAGCCCTCCCCGGCCCCGTCCACCTATGAAGCAGGATCTCACTAAGTGGCTAAAGTGCCCAGACAGAATTCAAACTTTTTTCTTTTCCCCCTGTACCGGGGATTGAACTCAGGACCCTGCACTTGCCAGGCAAGCGCTTATTCTACTGTGCTATCTCCCCAGCCTTGCCCTCCTGCCTCTGCCTCCCTGAATGCTGGGATGTGGCCGGTTGCCACCAACCCCTGGCTCAATTTCTAAACAATGTCATTAGTAGGTACAGGAAGAGCGTCCTGAAGTCCGCAGAGCGCAGCGGCCGCAGCCTAGCTGATGCGGGGCACGGGCTGCTCGGGGTGTGCAGTGGTGCGGCCCAGGCCGGGCCTCAGCGGCAGCTGGCAACCGACACAGAGCTCCGAGCTCCCGCGAAGCCACGTTGCGGCCGGCCCCCTACACTCTCCTGGAGGAATGGGCAGGTCCGCCCGCCAGGGTGCCTGGGGCTTTCCGCGAGGACCTCCACACTGCCCGCAGCCCGAGCGCTTCCCACCCCACGACCCCAGCCCCCGCCTACTTGTAGTGCACCGCGAGCCTCGGCTTCCAGCACTCGCGCTGGGCGGTTGCTGCGCTTCCTAGCTTCGGGGCCCCGTTGTCACGCCCCGCAGCGTCGGGCCACGCCTTCAGACCCTCGGGCTCCGGCCACGCCCCCGAGACCGCCCCGGCCACGCCCCCGCCTCCCCTGGGCGTCCCTGGAACCCAGGATCCGGAATCAGAGCTGTCCAGGAAGAGGCGCGGTCTAGCTCATGCCCGGAGGCGATTCGGCCCGAGGTCCTTCCACCTGCTGCCACGACCCGATCCTGGCGCGGGTTGCTGCAGCACTCTGTGTGCACGCGGGTGTGGATTAAAATAAAGGCATCAAGTGGAAGTCTGGCTTTCCTAGAGGGCGCTGATTTAGGGAAGAAAGTATGCAGACTTTGGAAGAACAGTGCGGGTCTGAAGAGGAAGTGTTTCTCAGATGTAGGGTCCTCACCCAACAAATGCCGCTCACGCAGCGACCTCACCGGTGCCCCGTGATGAACTGAGCTGCTCATCGTGCAAAATTCACCCCAGCGAATGGTTCTTTCAGTTAAAAAGGTGCCTCGATTTTTATAGCTTTTGTGTACGTTTACAAAGTAACCAGGTGGAGGCTGTGTGAAGACATCCATTCCTTCGACAGGAAACATGAGGGAATCTTAGAGATGAGGGATCCGTTTCATAAATAGCATAGTTATTTGGGAGAGAAAAACAAAATCTAATTTTACAACGTGTCTGCCTAGTACTTTTGTTTCAAAAGTCTCAGAGCATAGGAGATAGCTCAGCAGCATACACGCCTGCTTGGCAAGTGTAGGGTCCTGAGTTTAATCCCCAGTACCAAAAATAAAAATAAATAAACCGCGAGTCTTAGGGTGAGAAACCAAAGAAGGGTTTTCATTCAAATCTAGACACTTGCTGTTCATTTCACCGAGTACCTACCTCAGAGGTCACCCAGTCACACTGTGGGGGTGAGGACACGCCTGGGGTGCCTGAGCACGCAGCCCTCATCCACCCTCTCCAGGTCGGCTCACCCCAACTTCCCCAGCTACTCTCCCATCCCTCTCGTCTTAACGTGAAAGCAAAGTGGTCATTGACCCACCACCTTACTGGGCTTGTTTGTTTGTTTAAGGTGTTTGGTACAGAGTTTAACTACACAGCTTGGACTCGTACTGTACAGGTCAGACTTGTAGTGATCCATTTTCAGCCTCCCCAACACGGGATTACAGGCATGTACCACCATATCCGGTCTCGGTGGGCGGCTCATTGCACCAGAGGGCGGGGCCAGCCTGCGGGGGTGGGGGTTGAACCCTGGACCCTGCACTTGCCTAAGCAGGCACTTAGTCTACTGAACTACCTTGGTCTTGCTGGTTTAATGAATAAATCTTTTTCCTTTCCTCGTCCTCTATTCATGGGGCCCTTTGCGAGTGGTAACATCACAGCGGGTTGTCCTAATAACTTATCCTGCCCTTAACGTGTAGTCCTCAGGTCACAGCTGGCCAGCTGGAAAGCGAGCGTTGTTATTGCTAACGTCTTATTGCACTCTTGAAAAGCAGGCGGGAGTGGCTTTACTCAGTTTTTTGTTTTCCTCATTACCTAGCCCAACTGCAAAGCCTGTAGGAGGTGCTCAATAAATATTTAGCCTCAGAATGAGTTCCAGGCCCTTATCATGAGTGTGAGTTACCTGGTTCCCAGAACTTCCTGTCCTTTTGCCCTATTTCCCTGCTGTCTGTGCCAGGCCTGAAAACACTGTGCAGGGACAGAGCCCAGCTGGCTGAACTGCCTGTCTCGGAAAAGCAGATGACAAGAATTTGCCACTTTTTTCTCTCTAAATATCGCCTCTCAAAATAATGCATTATTTTTATGGTCTATGGGGTTTTTTGTATTTGAAAGGTTATATTTTTTTCCTCCTCTCTCAAGATCTTAATGTGTTGAGTACCTATGTTAGCTTTCCATTACTGCAATACTGTGAAAAATCAACTTAAAAGAGGAAAGACTTATCCTGGCCCATAGTTTTGGAGATTTCAGTCCACAGCCAGTTGGCCCACTGCTCCGGAGCCACAGCAGGGCAGCACCCAGTGGTGGGAGTGTGCAACACAGGAAATGCTCACCTCGTGGTATCCAGGAAGGGGCGCGGAGGGCAAGGGTCTCAATGTGCACTTCACAGGAACTGACCTAACCCTGGGGGCTCTCAAGGGGCCGGCTAGAGCATGACCTATTTCAGAATTACCAGTGCATGACATCAGACCTCTAAAGAAGAGCTAGCTGTGGTACACGCCTTGACTATCTGGGTTCTAATCCTAGCATGTCACTTTATTGCCTGTGAGACATTTTAGCCTCTCACAACCTCAAGCTCTTATCTGTAAAACAAGAGCCAGATCTTTTTGAAGCAGTCAATGCCCAACTCTTAGAACAGCATTTACAGGAAGCTTTTAGTACGCTGATTATTTTTACCTCTTGAAGATTACCCAGATTCGTTCTCAAACTGTGGTCTCTGGAGCAACAATGTGGACATCACCTCAGAACTTGTTGAAATGCATGTTCTTGGGTCTCCCCAGGCCTGCAAGGTTGGAAACTGAGCATCAACAATTACTATTATGGTTACTGTACTGGGCATGAACCTAGGGCCTTCCCACTACAGTATTATCCTTAGCCTTTTTTAAATTTAGAGACAAGTTCTTGCTAAGTCACTCAGTTGTCCAGGCCAGGCTCTAACGTGGGATCCTCCCAGAGTGCTAAGTGGTGATGCTTTGCTGGCAAAGTGTCATAACAACCCCTTCAGTGACTCTGACGGACTTGAATGACATCCACAGGGCTCACACACTGAAGCCCAAAGGTAACTGACAGGATGGCCCAGTGCTCCTAAGTCAGAACCATCACTCTTCTGGAATTACCGAAGCTGAAGCTCTGAGTCTGTCACCTCTCTTACAAGTGAAATATATGGAAAACAACGAAGGCTAGGGATCATTCTAACACTGACATTTTGATCTGTTTCCAGTGCTCACTCCACTTTCTAATGCTTTTCTTACAGAAATCATAAAAATATTAAATTCCTATGATTCTGATTCCCATATTTTTAAAAAAAACATGAGAACCAACAATTAGGTATTTGTACGGTTGTCTGCAAGATTTTGAAGGTTGCTACAAGTCTTAGTGAGTAAAAAGTATAGTGTAACTGTGACCGAAATACGAAGATCAACTACTGATCCAGTTTGTTGTTTTTTATAGCTGTTTCTGTTTTGTAGTACAGGGGACCAAACCTAGAGTCTCAACTCTGAGCTATGTCCTTGGCCCTTTTATTTTGAGACATGGTCTCACAAGTTACTAAATTTCCCAGGATGGCTTGAACTTTTGATCTTCCTGAGTGCTGGGATGACAGGCTTGCACAACCACAATATTAATTTTATTAATTTTAATAGTGTTAATATTAATATCTATCTCACGTACCACAGTGATACCTTGGTTGTCAAATATCTCTGAACTGGAACTTTCCATTAGTCAGCAGCTCTACTAGTTCAAAACAGTCTGCTTAGTATTCACAACTTCAGTCAACAGTTGAACCAAAATCTGATCTGCAAAAACCTGTACAGGCCAAGTGAGTCACATGCTGGTCTCGCCACAGACACCAAGGGTGATGCTTTAGTCTAGCATAGCTCTTGCCCAGACAACACAGTGCTTGTGTTAGAGCTTTCAAACACTCATCATTGTGCTTCTTTCCGCACTTTATTTGCATAAAATATCACAACTGTGGCTCCAAAGCCAGTGCTACCAGCAGTAAAGCTAAGAGGAAAACTGTGAGAATTGGGGCTGGAGAGATGGCTCAGTGGTTTAAAGCACCTACTTAGAACAAGCTTAGCAAAAGCATCAGGGACCGCGGTTCAATCCCCCAGCACCACATG